CCTCTTAAGTCAATTATTTTCTTGGCAGTGAAGAGGAGAAAAATACTTTTTAAAACTTAACAGGCATTGTTCTACAAAGTCATACTGACAAAAAAGCAGCAGCAAACCAAAACATTACAAGGGAGTGGGGTGAAGAATATAAGTGAAAATCAGAAACTAAGATTTGTTCTCAGAAAAATACTCATTTTTCATCGAGCTCTGCTCCCAGAAAACTCATAACTTCTTTGGAAGGACTTGAGATTTGTGTATCTGTAACAAGGGTTAAGCCTTCTTCAGTGACTTAAGACTAGGCTTAAACAAAGACATGCTATTTTATTATCAGCCTTGTAGTAAAAAGAAAACATGATAATGAAATATCCTAGTCCTCAATATCATGCACCGAACTACTGGGATGTGAACTTGAGATTCACAATATACTCAAGTTTATAAAGATTCCAAATTCACTATTTCAATGAAATTCACACTGCATTAGACTGTGAGAAGGAATACCAGTTAAATATTTTAAAATTTCCTCAAATGTAACTGTTAATGATCCTTTTATACCAGATTATAGAAATCTAAATATGAACCAATTATTTCACAGAATATGCATCCATTAAAATCTCTCACCATTAGTAACTTCTCACAGCTAAATACAGAAATAGAAGAATCACAGCACTGATAAGCCAAGAATACACATGAATTTTTGATAACAGTCTTGTCATCCCAATTATGCTTCGCTTAGGTAAACTAATATTAAAATGTGTTTACTAAAAAAAAAGTGTTTACTATCCCTTAACATAAGTTTGACTTGGTACTAAAGAAATAGGGGTCAGACGTATCTGTATCAGCCCTTAACAGCAAGAGGACACAAAGATAGGACTAAGTTTACAACAGGGAATTCATCCTATTGATCTCCATATTTTTTAATTTTCATGCTGTGTGCACATACCAATTAAGTGACATGGATGGTAGGACACAGCACCCCTGGGAGCAATGTTCTTTACAAAAAAAATTATCTTTTAAGCAATTTAAGGCTGACAGACATCAGGCTGGTCAAATTCTAAGAACAGCATCCTAATAGCATCAGGATAAAATTAAGCATATCAATTTGTATTTCTTTTCAACATCCTTTCACAAAATCCACTCATATGTGAAATATTATCTATAACGATTATCTATGCACTTGCCCAATGAAATGTTTATAAAAAGTTTTCAGGTCAGCAAAGTTGTCGTTTCCATCCAAAAGAAAAATTATTGAACCATTTACTCTTGGTACCTCAACACACACACAAACACACACAAATGGCTTCTAACAAAAGAAAATAAAATTTCAAAAGGAATGAATCCAATGCCCCAATAAGTTAATAAGTAGCTTCTATAAAATAGAAATAATTATGTGTCAGTATGTTCTTTATTTCTCCCTTTGATATTTCATCCTGCATCTGGAAGTACTGACATCTGAATAGAAAACAGCTTTACAACCACTTAAATTAATTTCTAAAAAAACGGTAAAAGTCATGCTGTGGAGTGGTTAAGACTAAATAACCTACAGCCTCTCTAGAGGTCAATTGCCCAATAATGCAGACAATAATTACTACTTTTCCTGGAGAAAACAGGAAAAAGCAGCAATGGCTTACTTATTACATAATTCCCCTGGAAACAGAGCCTGGTGGTCTCAAATTATGAGCTTGCCATTTTCATCCTAGCAAGACAGTAACACTGTTAAGAATGACAATAATTGGAAACCATATTCTGCAAATGGTGCATAGCCCAAACTGCACCCCCCCCCCACCTCACCCCTGCCCCAGAAAAACAAAACAAAAAAAATCCCTCTGGGCGAAAACATGCAGTAAACAATCTTTTTTTGTTTTTTAAGTAATATGTAATGTTCTCTTATTCAACAGTCCTCAAAATAGAGAATGCATACACCTGGGGGTTCATGAAGCTTTTCCAAGAGGGATACGAGCAAGGGCGCTTTTTCATTTTTCAATTAGTGTTGACGATCAAAAGTATTTTATATTAGTTTCAAGCATACAGCATAATGGTTAGACATTTATATAATTTATGAAGTGATCCCCCCATTAGTCTAGTACCCACCTGGCACTATACATAAGCAAGGATGCTTTTAAGGGAATCAGTTTTCAGATACTCAGTATCCATACAAAAGCCATTTTCCCTGACTGTGGTGCATTCCCTGAGCCCCTAAGCAATTTTAAATATAGGTAGAGATGTTGAGAAAGTATAACTCTAAAGACCAAGTAACAAGTCCTTTTGTAAATCGAGTAATTTCCAATTCTTTGCTTTCAACAAAATGAAGGAGGGCCTAATCCAGTCTTCAGTTGACAGATGATTAATCTTTTTTTATTTTAGCATATAATTTGAAAGTTATTCAAAAAATTGAGTGACACATAGAACAAAACTCCAATCATTGCCACCTATCAATGTTTCTCAGTGCTTACATCTATTAAAACAAAAATTAAGAAGGGAACTGATGCTGTCTGATTCAGGCAATTATTACCCAATAATCCATGGATATCTAACAAAACTCAATAAAAATTTACCTTTCTGTATAATTGTAATCAAAATAAGTTGTACATTATTCCACGTAATCTTAATTCAATATAAAAGAAAAAATTTATACCCAATCCCTAGGGCTATAAAACATTTTTTTTTAAATCAAAATTTGTTACAGAGAAGCAGAAAAGGTGATCACTAAAATATTTTTAAGCTTGAAAGTATATTACATTTGATAAAGTTCTATGGGAGATGTAGAATTAAAACTCAAGTTAAAAAGAATAAGGAATAATGTAAATCTCACTGCTAAGAGTTTATTAATGTGATTCTTAAATGGATGAAGGTGAATATCAAATCACTATATTATTTAGACTCCATCCAAGTATAACAATAATATGACAGTTCTATTTAATATGTCAATATAGATGTGCTGAAATTTTTATATTCTGAAATTATCTGAAACATTGACTTCAAATGTTGGATATAAACACTGAAATACAATATCATAACATAATTCAACAAAAAAAAAATTTAGGCAGAATACAAGCAGAAAGTTTTGAGAATCAGTTGTGTGTGTCAGTAATGGAAATATGTAAGTGAAATAATGGCCATTGAGAAAAGCAGACTTCAAAACAGAATACATTAGAAAAGATACATAGGCCAAAATAGTTATGTCTGAGCAGTGGTTTGCAACAGCAGGGGAGAAGATCAATTCTGTAGATTACCAAGAGCTAATCTTAAAGCAATTTTCTTTGGGGGCACTTAAGCATACTCAGCTTCTAACCAAATACGCTTCAGGTTTTCTTTAAAAAAGGGAAATATAATATAGAGACTGTCATTTGAGTTTGAGCTCTGGTAGGCTCTCAATCTCTATCCCGCTGACACGAGGGTGACTCCTTTCAGCAACAATGAAGGAGCAAATGCCTTAGAAACCTGTCAGCAACTCTGACATTGTCTCTTCTTCCAGGTTCATAATAAACTTGAACATCCAAGTCAGAGATTTCCCTTTTACTGAGTGAAATAGCAGTGACGGAAATGTCAAAGGCATCTTGTATTAAATATTACTCAGGCAAAAGATTTATATTGTTTGCAAAGCAAAAGTTCAGTCAAGGAAAAAAGCCTCCAAGTTCTACTTTCCTTAATGCAGTTATAAACAGTTGCCTTATCTTTTACTAGACATAAATAATTAAAACATTAACAGCAGCTGCCACATAAACATATGCGCAAGAAAGCAAAGATCTGCTGACATCCACAATAACTGAACGTGGTATCAGTGTTACCTTAAGCCTTATAACTGTATTGAAATATCAGGAAAAAAAACAGATATATAAAAAGGATCATTCAACTGTCCTTTACACCAGGAGTCCCCAACCTCTGGGCCAAGGACCAGTATTCAGTGGCCTATTAGGAATCAGGCCGCACAACAGGAGGTGAGCGAGCTTCATCTGTATTTCCAGCCTCTTCCCAGCGCTAGCATCAAGGCTTCGGCTCCACCTCAGATGATCAGGCATTAGATTCTCATAGGAGGACAGGCCCCTGGTGCCAAAAAGGCTGGGGACCACTGCTTGACACCTCCCTTTTGAAATCTCAAAGTCACTCCAGAGGCAATTGGGGGTAGTAGTTGAAAGAACAGGTTCTGAAACCAAAATGCCTGGGTTGAATCCAGGCCTTCCAATTTGCTTGTTGAGTGATAATGGATAAATTATTTAACCTCTCCTAATCTTGAGTTTTTTAACTGTGCCTCAGTTTTCATATTTCATACGAAGTGCTCTATAAATATGAGTTACTATTATTACTACAAGGAGGAAAAAAGAAAAAAAAATTCCAAGGACTGTCAACAGGCCTTGAGTTGCTCTCCGCTAATAGCTCATCAAAAAGATGAATATAATAATAACAAACCCGAGTATACTGGTTTTTTAAGTTATTGATTACATCAAATACAATATCATGCTTCTAGTGGGTATTCAATGAAGAAAATTAGCCTTATTATACGCTTACCCAAACTATATAGGCTTGGGTTTATACCATCTACAGAAGCACTGATTTAAAAGAATGAAATTCACAGATGCTATGTAGTCAACTAAGTTACCTTGTAGTATTACATATCTAGAAGTGTTTTGTCTAGTTTTATTGTCTTGTTTTCCTTTCAAAAGGCATGTATAGGTAGTGGTCTAAAGCAGAAAGCGAAGGCTGTCAACAGTATTAAATTCCAGGGTTAGGCAACTTATCCTTACGCAGCTAAAACTCTATCATTATGTGTTTTTGTTTTTTGTTTTTTTCTGATTATTTCAATTAATCTCCATTTGGGGCAGAAATGTGCAATGGGATATGAGAACAAGGAGCCTTCAGTCAGGGCAATCAATCTTGTCCTATTTAATCCTTAGGGACCAATAATGTTATTCTTAGCAAGCCTAAATACAAACAAAACTTCAGAACCTGAGAAGTGGAAGGGACCTTAGAGGTTACCAACCCAAACCAAAAAGAAGGAATAAGCTTTCCAACACCTCTTCATCCAGCTTTTCCTGAAAATACGATGGTGGTGGTAACCGCAGTAGAAGTGGTGGTAGCTGCAGCCCTTGTTTATGCCCCAGGCACCGTGCCACGCATTAACACACACTGGCACATTGAATCAAACTGTGAAGTAAGGAAGTCCTAAAAGAAAATGTAAGGTGGAATTTTTAAAGCCATTCCAAATAAAGGATAAAATCTTAAAATTTTAATAGATTGGGTTACAATGTTAGCATAGATCAAAAAATATATAGTATTCATTCTCTAAATGATATAGCATTTTACTCAATTTAGTTCAATAGGGATGAGTAAGACAGAAGCACCTTCGTTCAATATCACTCAAGTTAAAGACACTTGCTATTAAAGGCCTGGGTGCCAGACATTTTAGTACCAAAGGTACCATTACTATAATTACTATTAAAACATGATCCCTGAAGCCAAGGAGTGTCTATTTTGTTCTCAGTAAAGCAGTGATTGCTTCACAAATGTGTAAGAGATAAAACACAGTGGACTCAAGGGCAGGTTGATGTAAATCCCAGCTCTGCCACTAGCTGTCAAACAGCCAAGGCAAGTCAACCAGTAAAAATGAAGATGTTTGTGTGTGTTATAAGGTTGCGTAAACAATTTTGTTTTTTTAAAAAAGGCTGCAATAAAGTTATAGTTACATATATAAATAATGTTGTTATGAAGACAAAATATAATAAGTGTACACTAGATTGGTCTGTTTCATTTCCTAATAAGCTGATCCTAAGAATTTCTTCATACCTCAAATTTTACTTATTACCTACCTTAACCCTAACAAGGTTATGTTACCCTTAAAACCTTACATTTTATAATTTTTTTTTTTTTTGCCAAATTTGTATTTTGGTATACAATTACTATCTTTAGGGATGTCGCACCTACTGTGACCTTAAGATACTGCAAATACGTAAGTATTTCAGTAACAGGAAATTTTATATCAAAAAAATTTTTAATCTATGCACATGAGAATTCAAAACATAGTTTTGTACTACAAATGTTAACGTAACAGCAGAACAGATAGCTCATAGAAATCTAACTAACTCCTTTAGTTGGGACATCAGTGGAGTAAGAGTTTGCCTGTTTCAATTCCCTGTTTCAATCTCTAAGAAATTTTCTTACAAGTGTGTGACGAAGACCGATCAGTCATATTGCTATTAAAATTCAAACCTGACTACTAAAACATTTACAGATTGAAAATTCAGAAAGATGAAGGCCAGTGACCATTGATTCGTACACAAATATAATTAAGACAATTATTACACTATTTAAAAAAAAAAAGAGAGAGAGAACTAAGCATCTGATCCTGCCCCCACATACTAAAAAATAAAAAGTCCGTCGGGGGTATTCAGTCATTCAATAAACATTATGCGCCTACTGTGTGCCACGCATTGCACAGTGAATAATCGAGAAAAAAAATTTTTAATTAAAAAAAAAATCCCTTTCTCTTCATGACAGGAATGTCTCCCCGTATTGTCACGCTGCCCATTACTAAGCCCCGGGTGCACCCCACCGCATAAGGATTTATCACAGTGACACCCCACCTGAACCCAACATGTCCCCTCAGCTTGTGCGCTGACACACAGCCTCGGTCTCTGGGTTCTTAACCATGACGGATCCGTAACCACTTAGGCGGGCTGGGGAGGCCCAGGAACCCCTGGTCCGGCGGCCGCCCCTGCGGGCACACCGCGAC